ATCCTTTCTTCTATCACTCCCATCTGATCTTGCTCCAAAGTTTCTAACCCTTGCGTCCTAGTGGCTTCTCCTTGTTTGGGGTGAAAAAAAAAAAAAAAAAAAAAAAAAAGAACCCAGTTTCATTAAAACCCAGTTACACTGGAGACGGGGACTCAGGGATGTGGCCTTAAGCTTGATTATTGCAATCTATCGCAAGAGTAGGTGACGATTTTTTCGAAGTGTTGAAACTTAACTAATGCATGGAATAATAATGCAACACAAAATGTACTTAGAACAAAATGTATTGAAACAAGAAAGTGTACACAATATTTACATATAGTCTTTTGTATATTCCTGGTAAGACCGTTCCTGGAGAATGTGTTGACTGAGTCGCAGTCGGGCAGAGTCTCTGGTTGAATCTCTTGATTCCTCCCTCTCTTCCCGGTACCAACCATATATGTATGGTCGGTACTCCACTATGCAAATTAGGTGGATCCTACCACAACACGAAGTAATACCGTGTAGGTTAATGCAACTTTAGAGGCATAAAGAATTGCAAGAGACAGAACTAAAGTCTCTTTCAGAATCCAGGGGCAAAGTGGGACCCATTTCTCCCATTGGAGTATCAGTAGCATTGAATGGCTAGAACAAACACCGATGCAAGTAATGCCGTTACCCTGCTTCCTAAAATCAGTTTCGTTTAAGATATTCGTTCTCTTAGACTGGCTGACAACCAAGACAACCACTATGTCATCAAATTCACAAACCAACGCTTTTATTTACTAGGCCATATAATCGAGGAAGGCCGGAGTGGGGCACAACGGCCGCATCGTTGTGATAATAACAAAAACATGAAGACAGTAGCGCGAAGATAAATAATAAAATGTTATATCTCCTGCTAATATATATATATATACATATATATATATATGTATGTATAATTTTTAATAAATTACATATATATATATATATATATATATATATATATATATATAATTTATTAAAATTATAAAAATAAACATGTTATAAATCACTAGAAAAATAGCCATTTTGTTTCAACCCTTCTGGTGTCTTATCATGTGATGGTATTGAATCAACACTATCACTTGATAAGACACCAAATGTGTTGAAACAAAATGGCTATTTTTGCAGTGATTTTGTAACATGTTTATGTTAAAATTTTAGAATAAATAATATTTGCACTACTCTGTATTGACCACTCTTTTAAGAATAGTATTTTAGTTGTGGAATTTTATTCCGTCCCACCAATCATATACTTATATATATATATATATATATATATATATATATATATATATATATATATATATATATATAATGTAAAATTGCACAGCCACTCGTTATTAATGTGATATATATACATATATATGACGACTGGAAAAACATCTTAGTTTTTGTCGACGCATGTCTATTTTATCAAGGCAAGCAATGAAGGTGAAATGTTTTGTTGTCGGAAGACGAAAATGTTTTAAAAGCCGGAAGACGAAACGCGTCGGCAAAAACTAAGATTTTTTCCTGTCACCATTTTTTATACCAATTTGTCATATATAATACACTATAAATGACGCAGCCACTCGTATCCGAGGATGCCAGTTTACTAAGCCGGCTAGCTAATCCCGATTGCTGGCACTTGCTCAGTTACATTTGTGTTTGTTCAACACCCTAGCGCCCACTGGTGATTTATACTGCAACTATACTGAGCGAACCTTAGATACAGTTTTATATATATATATATATATATATATAAATACATATATATGTATATGTATATATATATATATATATATAATATATATATATATATATATATATATATATATATATATATGTATGTATATATATGTATGTGTATATATATATATATATATATATATATATATATATATATATATATATGTATGTATATATATATATGTATGTATATATATTCCCATATCCAAATTCTCTACTGCCTTAACCGGGTATTGAACTCTTTGGGTCCTGTCACTAACCAACGCCTTTATCCACTGTGTCATGTGTCCTTGAGGACATCTGTGTATGAATTTCTGTGTATTATAAACCTAATATCTTCAGCAATCATTTTTTACCGGAACTTGGAGAAGGGTTATTCAAAGGAGATAACTGATAACTGACATCCATTAGACATGGCACGTGGAACTAGAACAGTCTACCCCAGTGAGCGAAATTAAAGATTCGGTTCGACATTCCTAAGTACAACAGCCGAGACGTTGTAATAAATATGGCGACAAAGATGAGGACAATAGTCCGAATAATGTTAATAGTGAAGACACAAAGGATATGTAATTGTGGAGAGCTATGATCGCAAATGTCTTGAAAGGACATGGCACATCGGAAAGAATTGGTTGATTTTGTTTCGCCTTATCAACCAAGTTATTTAAAGCTAGATAATATTTCTAGCCCTCCACGGTGTTTTGAACAGGCGTTGAATTTTTTCCTTCTTTTCCTGTTTAGGTTAGTGCTTCCGGTTCCTTCTAAAGCCCCTTTTCGTTTTATTTCACCCCCCCCCCCCAGTAACCCTTTGAGTCTTAGTGGCATCATTGCTTTGCTTGGGGTGAATAGAAAACATTTAAAAAAACGACTATTTGGATATAATGATTTACTGAAACAAATGCTACTAATTAACCCATAACTGATGGGGGAGAAGAGGAGGATTCATACCTTGCCCAAAGATGTGAATATACCGAACCCAAACTGGAAT